AGGCAGTTGCATCACACACACACAAAAAAAAGTAAGTCACAGATACAAGCAAAATATGGGCAATCTGGCTTTAATAGTCAAAGTCAACATCTGCCCTGTGGTGGGACCCTCAGAGACAGACAAGACATGGCTAAGATGTGACCCCTGCAATTCAGGAGAGGGGTTTCCTCTACTGAATGCTAAATTCAGGCAGGTTTAGAGATGAATGAAAACTGCACACCATAAGGGACGGCCAGGAATAGAAAGCCCATGTGGGGGAAGAACGCTCTAGATGTAGCAAATGCATTTCCAAGAGGCTTTTATCATTCTTATTTTGTCACTACTATCAACAATAATAAGAAAAGAGCTTACAGAGCAGCCTCCCCAATCCCTTAGCAATGCATCCAGAGATTAGCAGCAGAGAGCAGTGGGCAGCAGAGAAAAGCTGTTCAAGGAATGTAGAGGCATGCATAATGAGATTATGGAATTGGAGTTGCATGTTTTCAAGGATAAATGTGATATTATTGCACTGGCAAAGGCATTGCAGGAGCAGGGGAAAGGATGAGAAATAGCCTGTCAGAAGGGAGGGATTGCTGCAGTTGAGCTCTAACAGGACAGGGACAAGTGGGAAGTGGAGGCAGCGAGGAGGAGAGGAAGTGCACATCCTACTTGACATGCAGATATGCAGAGAAGCTTTTTGCAAAGTGGGTGATGTCATCGTGTTTTTCTCAGCCTTCAGGACAGCAAGAGAAAAATAGATGAAACCAGCACATGCAGAGGAGTCTGTAAGACGAGTAGACTTTCCCCCTCCCCTCTGTGCAACACTAATTGCTCAAATATTGATCGGGGAAATAATTTGTGAGGACTAAAGGAGGAAAAGAAATCCTTTCTTCTTAAGAGGCAAAAAGGGTAATGTTTTTGCAGAGTTGCTAGAAAGGTCCAGGTGATCAGAGAATTTCCAAAACCATGTAAGTTAATTTAAGATGTTCAGTTGGTCTAAATTTTATTTGTTTATACTGGAAAACATGAAACAACTGCAGTCTGTGATTTTTCAGGATACCACATGAAGTCTAGTTGGACTTCCAGCTAGGCTGGTTCTCCCAAGGGGCACAAGTGTCTCACCAAGCTGGTGAGAGACCCATGGATCATAACTAACCTTGGTTAGTAGAAAGCAACAGCTTCAGGAGGGACTTTGGCAAGCCAGGGCTGCCAGCTGGGCTGTGGGTGACAGGAACCAGCTGCCCAGGCTTAGTCTTGGCAAGAGAAAGAGCAATTAGGATCAAAAACCCAAACCAGAGCACTGGAGCACTGCTAGCCACTACTGCCCTGGCATGGACACGAAGCCTCAGGGAAAAGCAGCAGTTCTGCTTGGCTTCTGGAGAGCTGCTTTTCCTCCCTGAGGAAAGGAAAAGGAAAACTACCATGCAACAAAATCTAAGAGCTTCTCCAGAAAATACGTGTACCTCATCCTCTTCTAGGGTAGCAGAAGTGAGCACTAGAGAGTCATCTGTGGTTAAAAATGGATGTTGGGAGTACACTAAAGTACAGGAAGAATAACATTAAAAAAAAAAAAACAAAAACAAGAATCAACCACCAAACTATCAAGATAGACTGGGAGAATGATAAAAATAAGCATGAACATGCAAAAACAGTGACTGCAGGAAGAGGAGGAAGCATCCAGTGGGTATTTCTCAGAGATATACAGGCAAATAGCCACAGGAAGCAGGAGAATCAGACCCTTTGAAATATATTCTAAGGTTAGAGAGAAATGAATGGAGAGTTTTATTAAATAACTGCCCAATAAATATTTTTTCATTTGGTGTGGGGCAAGTCCCTCAGTTCTCAATTTTGTGCCCAGGGGTTCTCCCACTGGGCAAGGTGAGTGCAGGGGAGGACAGCACAGCGAGGGCTTCCAAGCTCGGTGGACTGGTGGGTGAAGTGGTTTGGGCACTGGTTGCACAGCCTGGCCCTGGGGAAGGGCTGGGGTGCTGCCCTGACACCTCACACGGGGAGAGTGCAGCTGCAGGTACAGGGTGGGAGAGCAAACACCCCTCTGGCAGTGCTGGGGGTGACAGCAAGGATGGGGTTCCAACAGCCATCCAGTGCCTCTTCCAGAAATCTAGAGGCTCTCAAAGAGTGGGTGTTACAAAATACAAGAGTATTCTCTCAAGTCACGTACAGGGTTAAGCCTCACACATAAATAAGACCCTGCCTGCTGTGAGGTGGATAGTTTAAAAGCCAGACACAGTAGTCAAAAGATACAGGTAAATCCCCAGTGGATAAGAGAGCAACAAAAATTAAGATCTGGGAGATTCTTTTCTTATTTGAATGCTGTTTTCCACCCTAGGGTACATCACATATAATCCCATTTAAGTAAATAATAAAATCCACAAAACAAACCAAAAACCCCAGCCCAAGAACAACAACAACAACAAAAAAGCAGCAAAACCAAACACCTAAAATGCAAATACAAATAGAAGACAACTCACTCAGCATTTAACTGGTTCCACTGTAACCCTGAGAAGTTCTGCAGTAAGCTGGTATGGAAGGGTCAGGTCAGGTGCTGTGCAGAAAATGTTAAAATACAGCCAGTGCTGACAGCCAAAGCCCCCCATGCTGGAGCAGGAGTCAGACAACAGGCACAACTATAGAGGGACTGTGATGGCTTTGGGGGAGAATCTGCATTTGTAGCCATTTTCTTGACTTCTTAAAGAGAAGAAGCATCTTGTATTTGTTCCGTTTGTTACATGAAAATACCTTTGCATTGAGTTGCACAAGTCTGAAGAAAAAGAATAAGCAACAGTAGTTCAGCTTTCCCCAACAGTGGTTTTAGGCCCTCGTGTGACATTAAACCTCACAACAGTTCACTTTGTTCCCTTTCCACAGGAACAGTTTGAGCTCTCAGACCTGGCAAAGCAGATGAAGTCTGGCTTTAGGAGAGGTGACAGAAGTTCCCGGAGGCCCATGCCCTCAGCGAAAGTGCTCCACGCAGTGCCAGCTGAGGAAAGCTGGCCAGGAGCTGTCAGGCAGAGGCTCAGATTTAGCAAACGCAGCCCAAAAGGGAGCCTGGGCACAGCTGGATAGGTCAGATAACAGGTCAGGCTGCCAAGTCCCTCTCCCCACGTCCTTCCATCAGAAGCTGAAGAGTGAGTCCAACCTATTCAATATGTGGATTGAATTTTCATGAAGGTGATCAAAGCAAAGGGCATACTCTGGCTCGAGGGAGAAGCTATCCACAAGCAGGGAGCAAATCGGATAAAGAATAGGCTTAGCCACGCTTCTGTCCCTGCCTGCTAAGCTAATTGTTCCTCAGGCCCGTTTTCCCCGCTACGCTTGAGATGAGGGGGAATCTGTGTTTGGGGACTGCTGGAATATTTGAGGTCTGAGAACATACAGCATCACTTTCATTGCAGTAATGAAGGCACAGAATGGCAGCTCTAAATGCTAAAGGTAATGATGCATTACCATTCGCTCTCAATTAATCCAGAGCCTGCAATGCCGAGTGCACTCACTCCGAGAATTTTCTCAGAAAATGAAGCTAGAGTGTATTTCATTTATAAATCACAAAAGACACTTATTTGGCAAGAATAACCCCTGCTCATATACAATAAATCATGAACATCAACAGTCTCTAATGGATTTTGAGTCAGTGCCACAGACAGTGAAGCCCAGGGCCTGTGTTTCAGGATTCCAGGACCGTGCCAAAGGAGCCTTATAAATTATTAATGCATTCAGCACAGTGTCATCTGTGCCACTGGAGAGAAAAAGACATTCTGGGGCTCCGTTTGTCATTAAAAAAGTAATAATGGGTTCAGCAGGCAGACCATGCCTCTCCCATCCCTTGCCAGGATGAGCCAAGTTAGCTCCACACTTCATAAAATCCCTTCCCCAAACTTTCGTACACGCTCTTGGTTCATGACGAGCAGCATTCAGAGAAGAGAAAAAGAGAGGGAAAGAAGTCTGTTGTCACAAGAAGCCCACCAAAGCCAGACTTCCTGAGGGACAGAGCTAAGGTTTGTGTTCACAAATCTTGCAACAGGGAGATGCACCACAGAGGTAGCTGGGGCCTCTTTCTACTTTGCCATACGGTGAGGACGTGGGTACATAGAAAATTCAAGTTTTGGTCCCTACTGCTCAGTCTCTCATGCTTTTCAGTTATTCATCCCACAGTTTTCAACCTCTCCCCCTTCACTTTTGTCCCCATGGTTACTGAATCACTGTGTTCACAGAGATTTTCCTCACTAAAGAAAATGTGACTAACATGAGGCAGCTAAATTATCAGAGCCAACTCTGACATTGGTTTCTCCCAACATGGATCTTATCTTCAAAATGCCTTCAAATAGATCTGTTGCACTGGTACCAACTTCAAAGTAAGCAGCACTTCAGCTATTGACAGAGACACAACTGCATCAGTATTGCACAGGAAGACTTAAAATAGGCTGGAATCAGGTAAAGGATGACATTCAAACACCGGCTGCGGGTTTGCTAAAGCTTAGGACTGCATGATACAAATAACTAAAGAGATGCATTTCACCAGAAAAAAATTAAATTAAGCCCAGAAGGGAAGGCATTATTTCCTGATTGGACCTGGGTCTAAGAGTTCGAGCAGATATCCTCTTCTTGAAGGTCAGTTTGGTTGAGCAGCAGGAGACATGCTTGTTTTAGGCCCAAAGAAATCTCTACTACAAAGTGCACCAAAACAGACCACTGGATAACAAGTGTAAAATCTCCAGCCACAGCAATCATTGCCTGCTGACCCACTGCTCAGTGGAGCTTCCCCCACACTGAGCAGCTCAGGCGGTCCCAGGGAAGTTTAAACCAGATAACCTCCAAATTACCCAGAAAAAGATACAATAAAACTCGTTTGCATCAGAGAGGCCTTTCTCCCCTTCACTTGCAGCATCTGGTCAGCCACAAGAACCCAGATACTAAACCAAGGGCAGCAGGACAACACTTCATGTAAGCACCACCAGCCACAAGCCAGTAGAGACAAGACTTGAGAACAAACGTGGAACTCTTACCTTGGCCGCTACGGAGGAGTTGGGCTTCTCCAGGAGGTCCCAGAGCTTTTTCCTTTTCTCAGCACAGCAAGTGTTATCGAATTCCTCCCCTTCCCTTTCCCTCAGGGTCTCAGCTTCTCTCTTCAGCTCCTCGTTCATCTGCTCCTTCTTCTGGTGGTAGCGGGCCTGGCAGCAGGACTCCAGGTAGATCTCGTCCACCCCCCAGTAGTCCAGCTCCTGGCTGAAGGACAAGGCGCACATCTCCTCCATCATGTGCAGCTTGCCAGTACGGTAGAAGTTCAAGATTGAGGTGAATGCCCCGGGATGCCTGTCGAAGAAGTACTCGTTCTCCTCCAGGTTGTAGTCATCACAGATCTCCATGAGGGAGTCGTGTGTGTTGCAGTCTCTGAGCTTACCCAGCCTGGTCCGCGGCAACCTGTCCAAGGTCCGCCAGAGAACCTCGTGGGCCAGCCCCCCCACGTTGAGCTTGACCCTTCGGGAGCAGGCCTTGCTCCTGACGATCTCGGTGGGGTCCGGAGGCAAAGAGGTAGTAGAGCGAGATCCATGCTTATTCATCCCCAGAGGCATCGCTGGTCCCCCTCAGGCTGGACGCTCCAAGGTGCGGCGCGGGGCAGGGCGCGGGGGCCGGCTCTGCTCACCTCTCCTTCCCCTCCATGCCCCAGAGCTGCAAGAGAGGCCGCGCGTGGGTCCCCGCCCGCCCCGCTAATCTGCGGGGGGGCGGCGGCGCTGTCCGCCCGCCGGTGCTGAACCGCGCCCGGCCCGGCCGACCCGCCCGCTCCCACGTGCGGCCGGGCGCCGCCGCCGAGCTCCCCCGGGCGGCGGACGGGGGTCCCCCCGCCCCGGCGGTCCCCGCACGCCCCGTCCGGGAGGGATGCGGAGACCGGGCACGGCCCCGGGAGCCTCTGCTGGCTGGCAGGGCGGGCACGGGGTGGCCCCGAGCACCGCTGGGCGAAGCGCCCCAAAAGGCGCCGGGCCGCCAGCCAGGGGAGCGCTGGCACCGCGTCCCCCATCCCGGAGTCCGGGTGCCCCCGCGACCCCGCGGGCCAGCCCCCTCCCTCGGAGCCGGCGGTGCCCTCCGCCCTGCCGTGTAGGCTGGGGGGGGAGATGAGGAGGCTTTTAGTAACTCCAGCCTTGCGGATTTCCCGAGGAAAGAGCTGGGGCAAGAAAAAGGGGGGGGATTTCCAGCCACTCTAACGACGCGCTCTGCCTCTCTGGGCTGCCCAGGGACTCCCCTCGCACCCCCACGCCGGCCTCTGCATAACCGGGAAAGCAACGAAAACGGCAATAAGGAAAAACCCCGAGCCTGCCTTGGGGAGCCGGGTGGCTCATGACAGCCCCGAGCACTGTTGCTTACACAAGATGGCACGAAGAGAAACCCCGGCGCAGCCAAGAGCGGCTCCTCCGTGCCCAGCCGGCACAGCCCGGGGCTCGGCCCCGTCCCCGCCGACCCAGGTCCCCCCAGCCCCAAAAACGAACCCCCCGCCTCTGCCTCCCGGCCGCCGCCGCCGCACACGAGGAGAGGCTCCCCTGTCTCGGCCCGAGCCCAGCCCTCACCTACCTCCTCCTGCGGGCTCCCAGCGAGGCGGTGCGGGGTGTGCGGGGCCGAGGGCGGCTACATCCTGCGGCGGGGCGGGCGGCAGGGGCGGCCCCGCTCGCATCCCCCCGCGGGCAGCCTCAAGGCGGAGGGATGGCGGCGGCGCTCCCGGCTGTCCGCGGAGCCCAGGGGGAGGGGAAGGGAAACGAGGTAAATCGTATCCTTCGGCAGGAAGCTTTCCAAGGCCTTCCCTCGGCTGCGGCTCCTCTCTCCTGCCTACAGCCAGCGCCGGAGCCGCGTCTGCCCCCTCCCCCAGCCCGCTCTCCGTGCAGACACAAAGGAAAGCTCCGGTGCTCCCTCCCGCTGCCTCGGAACGGAGATCAACAAGTGCAGCCCGGAGCTCCGGCGTTGCCGAGCGCGGCTGTCCCGGCGCGGGGCGGGCGGGCGGGCTCGGGGCGGACCGGAGGAAGGGCAGCTCCACCGTGAGCTGGAGCCCAGCATTGCAGCGCCCCGGGGCCGCTCCGCACCGGGGCACCGGGCAGACCCTCCCGGGGACCTGCAGCCTCCCTCCCTAAGGCGAGAGGGCTGTGCCGCCAGCTCCCGGTGTCATCACCCGTGAAAACAGGAGCGAGGGCTGGTGCCACAGAAAAGCGATGAGCGGAGAGCGCCAGTCAGCCCAGCAGGGCCCCCGTTGCCTCGCAGACGGTTCCTCGCTGAGCCGGGAGCAGCGGAGCTCAAGGAGGCTGCTCATCGCCCGGGTGAGGGCGAACCGGGCCCTCGCTCCCACCCTGGCTGCCCCTCGTTGTAGGAACGAGACTGTTCGCGGGACGGTTGCAGATATTTGCAGAAACAGAGAGGAGGAACAGTAGTGGATCTCTACTGCCAATTAGGACCATAAATATAACATAAAGGAGCATTTACTAACCTGAAAACACAGCAGAAATGGAGAAAACGGTGACTTTCCTGGCAAGCACACAGCAGACAAAGTGCTCCTCTGCCACTCCGTCCGTGCTTCCTGCCTGCTTCCCTCCTTCACTCCCCCCAAGGAAAATGGCCCTCACTAGGAGCCCGGAGCTCCATTAGTACCAATTAGCATCACTTAATGCAGTTCACCTGTTCGGGCTGGTACCACAGGCACAGGGCTCTGCTGATTAGCCCCTTCTCTCGCATAGGCTGGCCTGGCTCTTGGACTCTATCGACAATTCCCGCTACAACGTTTCTGAAAGAGGAGCCTGGTGTCTGATTTTATGTGATTAACTAGGAAAAAAAGACTTTCAGTGCTGCTTTCCCCCACTTTCTGTGCTTATCTCCCTAGTCCCTGCCTGCCTCCTGTTGCCCAGTGTACACCTTGTCAGCTTTACATGTTATCTTTGGTGTTTGATTGTCCACATCTTCTTTAGAGGTCACCTTCTGACATCCCAAACAGTGTTCGTTTTTCTCCGGTACCTCTCACAACTGCATATAATCTATATATTTAGAAATTTCTTACAGGAAGTGGCTCACTAGCTTCCTTTTGGAGATGAGGAAATTAAAATAGAGAAAAGCAAGATCACCCAGAGGGGAGGTGGAAGGAAGAATTGGGAATAAAACCTGTTGATCAGCTTAATCCCAGTCCAGTGCTCCTCTAGTGAAGTAGCTGCTCCTACCCCACCAAAACCTCCAGTTCAGGACAGACATTAGGACAGTATCCAGAGTTGTTGTGTTGCTTTTTCATCATTTCACCTCCAGACCCTACTTTACTCCTCTTACAACAGAGATTAAGCCCCTGATCAAGGCTAGGAAGCTAAATCTGTTAATGATTACAAAGTGCTTTGAAACTTCCAGCTGGCAGGTGCTGTAGGAGAACAAGAGTTTGTTTGTCAGCACTGGCCTACGGGTACATTATCTCCCCTCGTGACAAACACGGGAGGAGGATGCTGGGAGGGAGAATGACAAGTAGCCCAATGCAGGGAGATGCATCACATTCACCACAGTTAAATCACTGGGAGAGAGGCAACTCGGGTTTATTAGCAGGGCATCTGTGTCCTCCTGCACAGTTCTTGCTCCCCTGCCACTGCCATTCACGTGTCCTGCCAAGAGGCTGGAGAACCCCGTGGAGGGGCAGCATGGGAGCACAGGCTCCTGCACTGCTGGGAGCTCTCAATTCCACATGGGCCAGCACTGAAAATGGTACTGGTGGAAGCTGGGAGAGGGAGCCCTGCCCAGGGCAACCCCTCCAGCTGTCTGTGCCTGGGGTAATCCAGGAATCTGGGCAGAGGATAGGATGTTTCCACCCCCAGGATGGCTGTTCCCTGCAGCATGTCGTGTCCCACACAGAGAGTTTGTCGGCAAGGGGCAGTGCAGGCCTGAGGATTCAGAAATGTGCAGCCTGCTCGCTCTTCTTCAAGGTTATTTCACCCACTCTTGGATTGGATACACCTTTCAATTGATATTTTTGTACTCTGAGTTTTGCAAACTTAATTTATGGTTTGTTATTTCCCCAGTCTATGGAGCCAGCCAAATGATTGGATGCAGTTTGTGGCAAACCCTGTTTCTCTCCAGGTTTTACAGCAGTTATTGACAAGGAAACACCTTAAACCCCAAGTAGTTTAGAGGAAATACACAGAGTATGGCAAATAAATGTTCTCCTGGGCTTGCAGTCAGTGGAATAGACATCTGGATTTCACTGCCAGGCAGAAAAGGCAGTGTTTGTTGAGCTACAACATTAAAGGGAAATAGGCTGAGCCTGAATGTGGAATTATCCCTCTGCTGATCTGCAGTGACTCCTCTGCCTGCATAAGGGAAAGTATCACATCTTCCCAAACACCCATGCCTGTACAGCAGTCTGGCATCTTCCTGTCCATCCTGCGAAGCAAGAGGGGAGGCTGCTTTACATCCTTTTACTGGTCACAGGAAAACAAAGGGCTGTGAGAAAAGGGAGGCTCCTGGCTCGCCTGTGAACCAGCACTCGGCGCTGTCACAGTGGTGGCATGAGGGACACAGGGTCTCCCACAGAGAGGGGCACAGCCCCTCTGGTGGCCCCTGAGTTTTGGCCGGTTCCCCATTGCTGAGTTTCACATTTTAAAATGAACTCTAAGATGTAACAATGACCCATATTGTTCTTGTAGCCCAAGGGCCTTGCACTTATCCTCGGGAGTGGGAAAGGCAATCGTGCACAATAAGCTGTCTCTGTTACAGAGTGTTTCCTATTATGCCCCTTTAAGGATTCCCTTAGTTTCCAGGGATTTTCTTTCCAGACTGGAAACACTTTAGGTACAATGGAGATTTCTTTTATGGTCCAAAATCCTTTCCCTTAAATGGGAAAAAAAATTATCAGATTTCCTGGCAGAGATCCATAACAAGTGTTGAAAAGTGCAAAAAGAACTGAGATAGATAGTGCTTGTGCTACCAAGAGCCCAGGAGCATGGAAATACTCGAATACCAGGGGAAAATACTGGAAGCAGACAGCAAAGTACAATCCAAAACCAAACTTTAGAAAAAGAAGAGTCTCCTCAAAAATCCCAGGCAGAACTTGGATGATGCCAGCAGCAGCTGAGCTCCATCCTCGCATACTCCCCTGCCAAAAGCCCCTTTTGAGGGAATTCAGCTGTGGTTGCTATGAGGGAGTGGGTTCTGCCTGCAAGGGGTGAACCCTGGTCCCCAGCCTGCTCCACCATACACTCTTGCCCTCCACCAGCTTCTCCTCTCACCAGGGTAAAAGGAAGCCTTTTCCAAACAGTTTACTTATATTTACAAATCTATAAGATCTCATCGGTCCAGAAGGCAGAGCCTCACCTCTGCCAGGCTCTCTGGGTTCTCAGAGAAGCCCCAAAGGATCTGCAAGGGCTGGGCTGCTGAACTGGATATCTGCAAAAGTGAGAGATGGAGGGAGGAAGAGCAGTGAGATCTCAGCAGGAACCAGGGAGCAAATGCCCCTTGGCAGAAGGCAAAGTCTCTGAAGGCTGTCTCAGCTATGGAAAAGACAGGTGAGGGCAGCCCTCTCTTGGTTTTGGGAGGACAGTAGCCACAGGGGGACCCTGTCCTGTAAAGAGTTGAAGTTTTCAGCTTACCTAAAATTTTCAGATGCATTTTGAAGTCCCAGGACTACCCAAAGCCCCCCCATTGCAGGCAAGTTCCCCTCCCTCCTACTACCTCGAGGAGGAGCTCACCAGAGCTGCATCCCTGCTTTCCTGGCACTGCTCTGCCAACAGCTCCTGCTGCTTAGTCAACCTTGGGCTTCTTTGGCCTTCAGGAGGAGGGCAGGAAACACTCCAGTGCATATTGGTTATCAGAGAAGCTTCTGGTTCAGGTTCCCACAAAGCACATTCAGAGCCATCCCCCTTGGCTCCAGCTTTCTGCCTTTCCCAGGATGTGCATTTCCTCCTGTGCATCTATTCAGTCTCTCTCTGTGCTCACTGACCACAAGCATAGACCACGTGGCTCCTCTTCCCAAGGATGGCTCCATCAGACCCACCTTTCCTCTTATCTTGATGAGGATGATTCTGGGAGACTGGCTGAAAGCTATGGAAGCACCAGCCTATTCCCTAAGGTGTGTAAAGCATCACCTCCTGGCTGCATCTGTCTTGTTCACGTCAGGTTTGAGAACAAATACAATTGCTTCAGGAAGGAAAAATGCACAAACCTTTCTCTGGTTGAGGAATAAAATCCCCCCGTGGGCCGATTTGTCCCTGTCACCCAGCTGCTAGGGAATTTGCAAAAGGACCTGAGAAATTTTCTCCTGCCTGTCAACCCCATAGGCCAAACACCTGAGGGCCCCTGGTTCCTGTCCTGCTCAGGAGGGATCGGTGGCAGCAGGACTCCCCCAACCCCTGCACCCCATGGAGGAGCTGGGGGATGGATGTTTCCTCCTCTTAGCTTTCACTCTTCAGGCAGGGCTGGCACTGAGGGAGAAATAGCCACCTGTAATATGTTATCTAACATTTAGCTTGAAGCACTGAGCCCTGGGAAGCAATTGGACTTGCCTTGTTATTCAGCAACTGTGGATTTATTAGCCCCTGAAGGGCTGGAGGCTCACACTAATCATCACTCAGGAGGGAGGGCAGCAGAGCTGGAGGGGTCAGCCAGTCCTCACAGCGGTGGAGATGTGGCCTCTCTCACAGGGGTGACCAAGTGCTCCTCCATCCAGCCACTTTCTGCTGAGGACTCCAAGTGCCCCGCAGCCATTCACACCCTTTGGGGCTGTGGCACCCCCATGGCTGCAGACAGACTGGGCAGTCTTTGGGGAGAGCCAGGGTCCAGGTCCTGGATGCAGTATCATTCCCAGGAATTCAGAGGCAGGAGGCCCTGCCTGCCCTCCCTAAGCTCCCCCACGGTCAGCATGCACACATGCTGATTTCCATCTCTTGCCCAACTCCTCTTTAACAAACACAGGCTGAGGGCTCAGCCTTGGAGGCAAATCAAACACCAAACTCAGCCACAGACAAAACTCTGCTTTGTGGTCTAATGCTGG